AAATTTTTTATTGGCTTCAAGCGTTCATATATTAGTAGTCAACCAACGTACTATAGCTTTATTTACAACCCAATTCAATAATTTTTAAAGTAACTTTTGTTATATGGCACACACTACTTCGACAGATGCTTAACTGCTCACGTGATATTAGGCTAGTAACATTTAGATCCTATCCTTTGTGCCACAAAGGCTGTAACATCACACACAAATTTGAATGTAACATGGCTGTAACATCACACACAAATTTGAAGGCGTTATGATAACTTTTAATTTTGGACAAATTTGAATCGAACCGGGCCAATGAGTAATAACAACAACAACAACGTAAAAGACAACACTCTTACTCCATAAGCTACTTAAGTAAACCTTTCTAATAGATTTCTGCATCTTCCACATAGGTGCCTGGTGGTTCGCCTCTGACATCAGCTGCAATATGAATGGACGTTATTATCCAGGCGGCACACATGCGGAGTTCGGAGAAGGTGTTGATCGGCAGTCTTTCAAAGGATTCTATCAGTCTATAAAAATGACGTGGATGATGATTAAGAAGGAGGGATGATGATGGTAGTGATTGTGATGATAATGTTGGTGATGATGGTGATTGTGATGGTGGTAGTGATTGCGATGGTGGTGGTGATGATGGTTATTGTGATGATGATGATGGTGGTAGTGATTGTAATGGTGATGATGGTGGTGATTATGATGGTGGAATGATAAAGATATCGCAGTTGATGATGATGATTTTGATGGCGATGATGATAAGTTAGAACGATAAAAGTGATAATGAATTGTAATTTCTCGTTTAGACGTTGAAAGCCGACTTCTGGATGAACTCTTTTTCAGTTTGAGGTGTTTTTTTTAAATCATTAGCAACTAGTGACTTAAAAATTTGTAATTATTTTACAAAAAAGTATGGCTTTCAAATTAAAAATAATTTTCTCTTTCAACTTGTTTTGTTTGTTAATTATTGAAGTTTGTTAGTTATTGAATGAATCGATCGATAAATAGTTCGTTCGTGACTGTCTAAAACAAAATCCATCGAACAATCTTGAATTGATTAGATGCGTAGAAAACAAATTCTCCCTAGTTTAGAGATTGGACCACGGTTTGTAAGCTCGACTATACTTACTGCGTTATTTTTCAAGCCATTCTTGAATTTTTTTCTTTCCCCAACCCACCTTATTTGCCGATATTGTTAAAAACGTTCCTATTCATTTACGCATTATTGTGCATGCTTGTCGGTGCAAATCATTTCTATTCTTTGTAGTCTCTTATGCCAAAGGAATTCCCATTCAAAATGAATGAACGGATTGCCGAATAGTTTTAAAAACAATATCTTTTAGTTTAAAAATCAAAGCTAAGAATTGTACCTGAGCGCGTGTGTTGAGAAAAAAATAGAAAACATAAGTAAATAAAATAAATAAATAAGTAAATAAATATATAAATATATATTAGAAATATAACGAAATAATACAGAAATAATATATATATAAAGTTGATGTTACAAAATTATTTTCATTTGAAACGCAATCAAAATGAATGTTTTAGGATGGTAAAAAATCTCCCCCTCTGTCAGTTACTCGTTCTCGACATATTTGAGCAACTGCAGTCTTTTTCTGTGAATCCGCCAACACCTTCTTCCAATCTACGTCCGAATGCTTCCAACGCCACTGCCTGCTATCAAAAGTTGCAACCAAATAAGAAAGTTTTTGATCCTTTACTGGAATCCTATAATGAAACAAAAATCATCACATCTTGTGCAATTGAACAGCCAACGACAACAATAAACCTGGCCGACCTACAGCCAATCCAAAAGACTACGGATGAAATAACATCTGCTGTACATCTGTGCGCTTTTGCATGTCGAGCCAACTTGACAACTCAACAGGCATGCCAGGGGTTCAATGTTAGTATATTTCAGGAGTGTGCAAACTGTTTAGGTATTGGCCGGTTCTTTTCACTCAAGAGCGGGGATGCACCTTTTTCGCGGTTACTATTGTTGAAGAAGTTCATTCAAGTTTCATTGAAAAAGCTACAAAATTTCAATTAATTCTGTCATGAATTTGTGAATTAGTTACCAATAATACAAAAACAAATTTGATGTTTTTTTTTTGAAGCTGAAGCCTGTAAAGAACACGAGCCTATCTCTCGTGCCAACCTATCCTGATAGGAAACTTCTTTATGAACCATGCTGGTTTTGTTTATAATGAAATTTACAATTTTTGAAAATTTTTTGCAATTAATAAACAAAAAGATATTTATTAAATTAGTTTTTAATGTAATTAATTTTGAATTTCCACGCCGTTGCTATTCCTCTGATTGACCGAAAAGCCAATGGCGCTCCAATTCTTACGTTTCTGATGCAAATGAACACGGATCCGTATGCGACAGCATTCAATAAGAGCTGGCAATAATTCAAATTTGGTTTTTCAGTTTCAAGTGGCAAGCCGATTGAAGGAGACTGCGGTGAACAATCGTTGGATGCCTATTGGTTGGGCAACGTGTTGTTACACCAGCTTACATTTGGATACGACTGCGGTCTGCACGTGTATTGCAACGTCAACAAATGTTAGCGAGTCATTGGCTGAACATTTCTGTTCATTTGTCTGGTTGTATAATTTAAAGATGTTTCTGTTTTTTGTATGAGTCGCAAGATTTGTGTCTATATATTGTCATTCCATTTTATTTGATAATTTCTATTATAAAATCTCAATATTAATCATCGTTAACAATATTATTTAAAAGAAAAAAATTATTATTTACTATCTGAAAGAACTCCAGTACTCCTATTACGGTCGTTTTGTAATAAATTCAGAGAGTGACAACTACCGAATAAACATCATCCAGTACTTCTCGGGCAACGTCACTCCAGCCGACAGCATGACCACGAAAAGTTCCATGCAGTTCAACACCTACGACCATGACAAGGATTATGACAATGTTCATAACTGTGCTATACTCTATAAAGCCGGTGAGTCTGTCGACTCAGTGTCGGTTATTGTATACTAACTAAATATATTATTCTTCAATTTTCAAAAATAAGATGGTGGTATGACTCTTTCAAGGGGGACCTTGGTGTTTGTGGGTATGCCAACATGAACTCCTACTACCCCTACTTTTTAAGCTACGTTGGTAACCAAAAATTGAGGAACTCCTACATGAACTCCTACTACCCCTACTTTCTAAGCTACGTTGGTAACCAAAAATATCCCCTCTCTAGCTCTCAAATGTGGCTCCAGTGCCAACAAAAATGAACAACACCATTGCCGACCATGTTCGTATGAGCCTACATACTTGAGACTACTACTTTATTAATTATTTCTATGTTGAGAGTTGACGTAACCTTCAAATTGTCATATGAATTTTATTTCACTTTCGGATTGAAACTGAGATGAGATAATTTTTCAATTTTTTTTTCTTGAGATATTTGTGTTTTATTATACAGAAATGTTACGTTTTATTCATATTTAGTTTAAAGAACAAGAAAAATTTATAAAATGGTTATTATTTTATTATTGAAAAACATCTAAAAGAATATGTTGACAAAAAAAAATTCACTGAAAAACTCATTGTCGGGTCGTCATAAACGCCGTCGTCTTCATCATCTTATCACTTTAATTTTTAATGAAAATAATCATAAATATCGTCAGACACATGCAATAACCAGTTCCAAAGATAACATCAGCAACGCTATCTTAAAAACAATCGTTTTAAGAATTATAATTGAATGTAACCAAAATCACGAAAATCATCATATTTTTCATCATCATATTAGTACTTTATAAACATCATTGTCATCATTCTCATCATCATTCTTATCAGTAAACTCAACATCATGATCGAATAATTATCATAAATAACAGCTTATTGTGGTCAACTTATTAAGAACATTGTTAGAACATTTATTAAAGGTTAAAAATAAATTTTGATCTTGAAATGTCGGTAAACACGTTCGAGAACATCACACGCATACACATACAAACACGCACACGCACAAACACAAACAAATCATCAGACCACCAGACTAAATGAACATTGATGCAGCTAGCAGACTGACTGCAAAAAAAGAAGGAGGTCACCCCCGCGCGCCCACACACACAAACACACACACACACATACACACACACATACACACACACACACACACACACACACTACACATGTGTATAACATTGATGAGTTGTTAAGAACACCAAATTTGTAAAAGAAGTAAAGAGTATGTTTAGAATATAAAAATTACTCTAATTTCAAATAGATGAATAAATAGAAATATTATTTTCCAAATTACCCATATTATAGAAGGCACTTGTAAAAAATTTCAATTAGATAATTTTCTAACACAACCTCTAAAGTATTAAACCGATAAAGTTTTAAAACGGCTGTTCGTCATAGGAAAGAACCCACACATAATTTCTACACTTCTATTACAATTGATTAGCATATGATCTAAAAAGTTTAAATATATGTCAATCTAATGAATGAATGTTACTAGGCTCCGTGTAAATTTTCTCATTTACACCAATAGTGGGTAACGTTAAGTATGTTGCCATTATTAAGATAGGGATTGGTTGAGATGTAACATTGAAGGCCTGTAGAAGCAGCGCTGTTGAAGTCAAAGCCATACTGACATTGGGTATTAGAAAATGTAGGATTTAAGCAGGCAGCCCTGCAATCATCAACTGTTGAAGCTGACGCTACCAAAATTCCATTAATTGTATTGCTATTGTTAGTCATCGTGTTATTCGTACAGACTCCGACGGCTAAGAAGATAAAATTTATCAACATAAATGTTTAAAGAAAATTGAAATCAGTATAAATAAAACTCAGTTAGGTTAAAAAATTTTATTATTAATTTTATTTTTAATTATAAATTTATATTATATTATAATTCAATAAACATATCAAATTAATAAATATAGCGAGAAAATCCTATAGTATTAATAGCAGGGCTGTTTAGGGCTATGAATGTGGGATCGCCGAGTTATGTGTAACCCAATCAATCACTCAACAGCCACTTGCTGTGGGCTGAAGATTCCGGCAGAACAATTGCATGTTATTATAAAGAAGTCAGGTACGTGTGACGGAATATCGCAAATCGTATCAGTAAAGAGAAGCCCCTTCATATGCGTCAGTAGTCAGAAATTGTTTGTAGATCAATTGAATTTATCAAAAGTGGACAATAATATTAATTAAAACACAATTGAAAATGTTAAAAAATATGTTGTGGAATAATAATATCGACAGACAGAAAATGATTCAATTGACATATGTATTTCTTATCAACCTGAGCAAACATAGTGAGCAACTCCAGAAACAACATTGGTCGGCGTATCTGAAGATGTGAACGTATAACATTGTGCTCCAGCAGTATTAGCAGGAATCCATTCAATGGCTTTACATTCTGGGGTACTGGAACACTTTGCTTGGCACTCAGATAATGACAACACGTTGACAGAAGTTCCTCCAACCATTTGACGGTCATTATAAAGAGTCCAGGTGCATCGTCCTTGACAATGAAGCAAATGATATGGAAAACAAAAGGCATTCAGTTTATTGAAAAAAGTTGATGGTTTTGTTCAAAATGAAACTTGTCGACCAACTGCACTAAGTTGAAGTTAGCTGTTCTCGCAAAAAGTAATTTCTTTGTAACTCTTATGTGATGTGGTAAACTACCTTCAAAATTATTAAAACCTACGTTAATAAACTTTCGCAAGTTTTTTTGCAAACTTTCAAAGTGGCTACTGAAATATTTATCCATTTTATGGAGGTGAACAATGCAAAACACGTTTTACATCGTTGTTAGTTCAAACTAGCAGGGTTAGTTGAAACCCATTCAATGGCTTTATAATTTGAAACGCATCTTGCTTGGCATTCAGCTAATGAGCCCACACCGCTTTGAGCAATATTTTTTAAAATTTTATTTCCAATGATAAGTTTCCACGTACAGCCACCTAATTTCATCAATGAAACAGCTTCAGGATTTTTAAATCTAATTCATTCGAACACTAAAATCTTTTCATTGAAATACCTTAAGTATAAAATTTATAAACTTTTTGTGGCATTGAATTAAAAGTGTACGTGTGGTATATGACTATTTCCAAATTCAAGATTATTAGTCATTAACTTTTTTGTAGAGTGTGATGGTTTAATGCTTAATGCCAATTTACCTGACTGTGTTGTTATAATTTTTTACTCGTAAAATAAAATTTTGTGAAAACCTTAAAAAAATATATTTAAAGCATTATAACGCAATGAACATTTGAAAGTTAACGAACCATTGTTATTGGAATCTGTAAATAAAATAAATTACGTTAGAGTTTTGTAAAAAAAAGTAATATTCTAAAAACATTATTTCATACACGAAAATGTACAAGTTACGTAGAAGCATACAAACTTTGACAAATGTAATGGGTGAGTCCAGTTGTACTGGAAGTTGGGACTGTTGAAACGTTGAACGTGTAACATAGAGAGGTACTGGTGAATTCGATGGCCCGACATCCAGGTGTGGCGAGGCAGTTGGATTGACAAGCAGAAAGTGTGTTGATTGATGATTGCAGATTCCCATCAAACAACTGAAGGTTTGGATACGGTGTCCAGTTGCAACTTACTACAAGTTATCGAAAGGTTTATTTTCAATTCGGCATAAAAAAATGGAAACTTTTATTTAAAAAAATCTTTGAAACAATAAAATGGACAAACAATCTTTAATCTGGCAAAAGTGAGGTAGTGGAAAAGCCTGTGAAACCAATTAATAAACATACAAAAAGTATCAGGTAGGAAATATTTTAACGAACGAACAGTGAATTTAAAATTGCAGAAATGGAGTGAGTAGAGCTGACTGAAGGATTGTTTTGGAATCTAAACGTGGAGGGTTGTAGATAATCCACAAAATAACCAAACAACAACTTGTAGTTGGCTTGAAACTTTCACAGCACTTGAAGGGTATTATAAAGAGACCAAGTAAATGTGAATAAATATTGGGAATCGTGTCAGTGAAAAAACATATAGAGTGGCTCTACTCAGAAAATGAGAGTCAAAATAATTTAAAAGAAGATAAAAATTGGACAGAAAGAACATAAGAAAAAAAGATTAACCATGTTTAACATGCGTAAATTTCATTATGCCTCAACTTAGTTTATAGTCAAAACGAACATTGGACAAAAAAGAAAATTTTTTTTTAAATTAAAAAATTAAAATATTTGCAATTCTGAAATGAAATGTTTACGCGTAAGATAATTTTGAAGAGTAAAAAGAACCTGGAGAAGATGTAACAGCAGAAGAACCTGCAATAAGGAAAAAAATATTTGTATAAAAACAGTAA